TGAATTTAAGGTTAGGGTGGAAAGTGTTGGTGAAGTGGATGAACTGTTCGAGCTCCTCGTGGGAGCACGAGGCGGCACCGATACAGTCATCAATGTAACGGAGGAAGAGGTGGGGTTTAGGACCAGTGTAGGTACGGAAGAGGGATTGTTCCACGTAACCTACAAAGAGGCAGGCATAGCTTGGGCCCATGCGGGTACCCATGGCCACCCCCTTTGTCTGTAGGAACTGGGAGGAGTTCAAAGAGAAGTTGTTGAGGGTGAGGACGAGTTCGGCTAAGCAGATGAGGGTGTCAGTGGAGGGGGACTGGTCGGGCCTGTGGGACAGGAAGAAGCGGAGGGCCTTTAGGCCATCTGTATAGGGAATGCAGGTGTATAGGGACTGGACGTCCATGGTAAAGATGAGGTGTTGCGGACCGGGGAATTGGAAGTTCCGGAGGAGGTGGAGGGCGTGGGTGGTGTCACGGACGTAGGTAGGGAGTTCCTGGACCAAGGGGGAGAAAATGGAGTCGAGATAGTTGGCGATAAGTTCGGTGGGGCAGGAGGAGGCGGAAACAATGGGTCGACCAGGGCATTCAGGTTTGTGAATTTTGGGAAGGAGATAGAAGCGGGCGGTGCAGGGTTGGGGAACGATGAGGTTGGAGGCCGTGGGTGGGAGGTCACCTGATTTAATTATTTTTCAAACACTTCCTATTGCTCCCTTAAATGATGTAGTCTACCTCAAGAGCCATTTCTTGTGAAACTTTCTTATACTAAAATCTGTGAATGGGTACATCTCAGTGTAAGTGCCATGTTATATCCAAAGGAGATCTCTGCTGCCAGTAGAATAGTTTGTTTTGTTTAAGGCTCCATTGGCTGTCTGATCATGCTGAGCACCCGTATCGCTAGTTGAGCTTCAAGGGTTCTTGTCATTACCAGGATGGCCAGAAAATTCAGCTGCAGAGTTTCTCGTCTGGGAGAAACTCTTCTGGATCTCTTCCCCCAAGAAAGATATGATTTTCAGAACTCATTTTCAGAACTCTGAGGAAGGGTCACCAGACCCGAAACGTTAACTCTGATTTTTTTCTCTGCACAGATGCTGCCGGACTTGCTGAGCTTTTCCAGCAACTTCTGTTTTCGTTCCTGATTTACAGCATCCGCAGTTCTTTCGGTTTTTATTTGAGATCTGGACAATATCCAAGTGGCAAGGAACATTCGCACCACACAAATGCCATCTCCAATAAGAGACAATCTAACCACCGCCCTTTAACATTCGATGGTGTTACCATCGCTGAATCCCCCACTGTCAACATCCTGGGTGTTACCATTGACCAGAAACTCATCTGGACTTGCCATATAAATACAATGGCTACCAGAACAGGTCAGAGGACAGGAATACAGCAGCAAATAACTCACTTCCTGACTCCCCAAAGCCTGTCCACCATCTAAAAGGCACAAGTCAGGAGTGTGATGGAATACTCCCCACTTGCCTGGATGGGTGCAGCACCAAAACACTCAAGAAGCTTGACATCATCCAGGATAAAGCAGCCCGCTTGATTGGCACCACATCCACAAGCATCCACTCCCTCCACCACCGACGCTCAACAGCAGCAATGTGTACTATCTGCAGGATGCTCTGCAGAAATTCCCCAAAGATCCTTAGATAGCACCTTCCAAACCCATGACCATTTCCATCCAGAAGGACAAGGACAGCTGATATATGGGAACAAGTTCCCCTCCAAGACACTCACTATCCTGACTTGGAAATATGTCACCTTTCCTTCAGTGCTTCTGGGTCAACTATGCAAAATATGTGGACTGCAGCAGTTCAAGAAGGCAGCTCACTACCACTTTCTCAAAGGAGACTAGGAACGGATGATAAATACTGGCCAGCCAGTGATGCCCACATCCCACAAGTGAATGAAATGAAAGTGACATGGTGTAACATTCACTCCAGGGTTTGCTTGTTTACAGAATAACAGAATGTTATGGTACGGAAAGAGGCCATTCAGCCCACTGTGCCTGCTACATCTCATTAAAGGAGCATCATTACCTAGTGCCAATTTCCTATCTTTCCCCATACCTTTACACAAATAATCATCTAGCGCTATTTTGAATGCTTCAGCTGAACTTGCCTCCACAGCACTTCCAACACATTCTGTACCATAACTACTTGTTGAAGGAAAGAGCTGCTTGCCACTTCTTTTACAGGAACAGTTTCTCCTTATCTGCTCTATACAGCCCACTCACAGTTTTGTAAACTATCAGAAATCCTCTTAGCTGCCTTCTCTTGAAAAGACACAGGTTTATTAAATGGAGATCAGATCTAATTTAATGGAGTTTTTTTTGAAAAAGTGACTAAATAAATTGACAAGGGTAGTGCAGTTGATGTGGTTTACATGGACTTCAGTAAGGCCTTTGACAAGGTGCCATGTCGAAGGCTGGTCCAAAAGTTCAGAGCCCATGGAATCCAAGGCAAGCTGGCAAACTGGATCGAAAATGGGCTTGTAAACAGGAGACAACGGGTGAAGGTGGAGTGATGTTTTTGTATTGCGAAGCCTGTGACCAGCGGTGTACCACAGACATCGATGCTGGGAACCTTGCCACTTGTTAAGTACATTAATAAATTTGTTGTAAATGTAGAGGGCTTAATTCATCCTTGCTCTTGTACTCTATGGCCCTATTAATAAACTTGAGGTACTAAATGTATTACTTACTATTCTGTCTACCTGTTCTGCTACTTTCAATGATCTCTGCACTTATATCCCAGGTCCCTCTGCTCCTGCAAGCCCTTGGAATTGTACCCCCTGTTTTATATTCCCTTTCAATGTTCGTCCTCCCAAAATGCATCACCTTACACTTCTCTGCATTGAAACTCAGCCAAGCCCATGTCATTCCAGAACATTCCAAAATAATTTACAGAAAACAGCTGCAGATTTCCAGAGAATCTAACAGCTCTGTGGTAAAGGTTTCTTATAATTTACCTTTTCATTCTTGTTGTGAGTCAGACCTTGTACATCTTGTTCCTAACTCCAGTAAGGTGGTGGTGGAGTAGGACTTCTGAGCCCAAGCCTCATCTACTCTGTCAGCTTTTCTTTTTGTTTCTTTTCTTCTATTTCTCTCTTCTTGCTTGTTTTTTTTCTTTTCTATTTTATTTAACTTACACCTTGTTGAAGAGCCCGGTCAGGGCACAGCATCGGCGGTGGGGAATGGGCCCAGCAGCTCGAATTTGAGGAGGTCCAGCAGCGCGGACTCAAGTGGGCCCAGCGGCGCAGATGTGTGGCGCGACATTGGAGAAGGTTAGGGTTCCTGGTGGCTTCTGCACCGTCGAGGTGGTCCCAGTGCTGACTCATGGCTGCTGCGGCAGAGGCAGGTTTGGGTTCCCGGCGGTGTCTGCATCCAGCGCGGATTCATGGAGTCAGCGGCAGAGGCGGGTTTGAGCCCAGTACAAGATCTGACGGCATCATCCCATGGCTGCATTGGCGAGGTGGGGCCCCAAAGTGGCCCTCATGGTGGTGGCATCGAGTTTGGGCTGGTGCAGTAACTGGTAGCTTCAGTGACATCTGCGTTGGCAAGGTCCATCGAGGAATCATAGTGACAAAGCACGGTGAAGGCGAGATGGCACCGACGAATGGTAACCTTCGTTTTTGCGGCAGTGAAGCTGCGAAGGGGGCTCATGCCTGGCCACCAGGCCCATGGCCCATGATGAAGCACTTAACAAGAATGACTAAAGTTTGACACTTTCTTTATTTCGTCCTTTTCTGCCTTTATATTCTATGTTTCGGTTTAGTTTTCTTTGTTTTAAGATGGGGCTGGAGAGTGTTGACACTACACAACACTTTTCACTGTATTTTGTATCAAGATACACTTGACAATAAATAAATCAAATCAATTCACTAACCAGTAGAAACTGTTGTTCAAAAATGACAGTTTCAAACCTTTTGATGATCCTGAAAATCTCTATTATGTTCCCCCTCCAATGCTCCCTATTCCTTGTGACCTCCTTTGCTCCATTAAAAAGGATAAAATTTTCACACTTTTCTCCATTTTACTTCTTTTTTGCGATTATCATGAATTTTCACTCTGTGCTTTGTGTTAATATTCTTCTTACAATGGATTACCTAGAATATATCGGAACATCACCACATGCACGTTCCCTTCTAAACCATTTGCCATCCTGACTTCAAACTATATCAAACCTTCACCCTCATGGGGTCAAAATCCTGAAACTGTCTTCCTAACAGCATGGTGGTTGAAGGAGGCAGCTCACAATCACCTTTTCAAGGGCATTATGGGAAGGTGCTTAGCCAGAACCATTCGCATGCCAAGAAGGAATTTTAAAAGTGATCTAATTATAATTAACTGCTGTACATTCGGTGAAAGACCAGCATTTATATTTCTCCAGAGTTTCCGCTGTTCTTCAACCTAAATTACAGCAATCAAGAGCCTGCATCTTCAAAAGTCAAGCTCCATATTCTTCAAAAATGTAGAATTTTGTCCCTCCATTCAAATGAATATATGTGGTTCCGTGAATTGTTTTAATGTTTTGCACGTTTGTACAAAATCATGTGAACTTTGACCTTTTCATCCTAAGAATGCTTTCCATTCTATTTATTTTGTTTGTTATTTCTTCTTATTTCTTCATCTTCTTAATCTTTCCTTTGTTTTTTCACAATAAACATCATTATAATCTCCTTAAACATACTGGTTTTGACTGCTATGACCTATCTTTAATTTTTATTTTTAATCCAAGTATCTGTGCTCTCACAGTTTGTGCTTTCCCTTGCTTTGCAAATTAAACATCTTTTGGTTCTGAGATACCTAAATTGGAAAAAGCTCATTAAAATTACAATAGCATAAAGAATACTTTGAAAATCTTGGAATGTTTATAATGGACACAACAGGGATTCCAGGATCAATTTGGAGCTAGCACAGATAATGTGTTGAATTGTCGTTTCATGTGTTAAAGCTTCTTTGAAACAATAATCTGGTTCCTAACTATTCGTTTGTATTTATTTGTCCAGGAGCATCATTTACTTGGCCAACCATTTTTTGTTCTCCATCCTTGTCGAACATCTGAATTAATGACTCCAATAATGGGTGCCACACAGGAGCAGAGGTAAAGTGTTTAAACAGAGTCTGTTGAGCTGCACCAATTGAACGCAGCTGAATTAAAATGCATTGAATTACTATTAGGACAATAGAAATGGATGTTAGCATTTCTAAACAATTAAATCTACAGTTTAGATAAGAACAAATGGATTTCTGACTCATCTGACTAAAGAAGAATAAGTGTGGAGGATAAAAGAGAGTAGTTAGTCGTTGAATACAAATGTTTCGGCAGTTTTTTTGGAATCTAAATTACTGGCATTTACAAATGTGCAGTAGATGAAAATGATTATGGCATCCATTCTAACTAAAACTGGAAAGTGGGACCTATACAAGAAGCACGGGTTGCATCTAAACTGGAGGGGCACAAATATCCTGGCAGGGAGGTTTAACAGTGCCATTTGGGAAGGTTTAAACTAGTGTGGCGGGGGGTGGCAACTGGAGCAGCGGGTCAGTAAGTATAGGGACTGGGGAAGAACTTGAGACTAGGGCAAATGTGGCTGAGAGGAAGAGCAGTCAGGGAGAGGTTGCTAAGCTCAACAGAACTGGGGGCTTCAACTTCAGTGCAAGAAGTATAACAGGTAAGATGGATGAATTTAGAGCCTGGATGAATGCATGCAGTTATGATGGTTTTGCTATCACAGAGACATGGTTGAAAGAGGGACGGGATTGACAGCTTAACATTCTGGGATACCAATGTTTTAGTTGAGATAGAAGGGGGAGCAGAAGAGGTGGCGGAGTTGCATTAGTGGTTAGGGAGCATATCACAGCCATGTTGAGGGAGGACACCCTGGAGGGATCTTGCAGTGAGTCATTGTGGGTAGAGCAGAGGAGTAGGAAGAGTGCAGTCAAAATGTTGGAATTGTACTTGACAGACCTTCCAGCTGCCAGCCAGAGTAAGAGATATGTAGTCAGATTCTGGAAAGATGTGAAAATAACAGGGTTATTGTGGTGGATGATTTTAACTTCCCCCAAATTGACTGGGACTGTCTTAGTGCTGGGGGTTTGGATGGGGACCAATTTGTTAAGAGTGTCCAGGAGAGTTTTTTGAAAGAGCATGTGGATAGTCAGATGAGGGAGGGAGCCATACTCCTGCGGTTGCAGGGAAAGGTGCCACGGGTGGTGGGGTTAGTGGGGAGTGTGGAGCGGATGAGGGAGTCGCAGAGAGAGTGGTCCATACCAAAGACAGATAGGGGTGGGGAGGGAAATATATCTTTGGCATGGGGTCGGATTGTAGGTGGTGGAAGTGGCGGAGAATGATACATTGGAGGTTGGAAGGGGGTGATATGTGAGAACAAGGGGGATTCTGTCTTTATTTTTGTTGGGCGGAGGGGTTGTGAGGGCAGAGGTGCGGGAAACGCAAGAGATGCGGTTGAGGGCGTTTTCGATCACCGGAGGGGGCAAGTTGTGGTCCTTGAAATAGGAGGACATCTGGGATGTTCAGAAATAGAACATCCTATCTTGGGAGCAGACACAGCGGAGGCGGAGGAATTGGGAGTAGGGGATCGCATTCTTGCAGGAAGGTGAGTGAGAGGAGGTGTAGAATAGGCATCTGTGAGAGTCGGTGGGCTTGAAATAGATGTCGGTTTTGAGGCAGTCACCAGAGATGTAGACAGCGAGGTTCAGGAAGGAGAGGGAGGTATCAGAGATGGTCCAGGTGAATTTGAGGTTGGAGTGAAAGGTGTTAATAAAATTGATGAACTGTTCAAACTCGTCGTGGGAGCACGAGGCAGCGCCGATACAATCATCAATGTAGCTGAGGAAGAGCTATGGGATAGTGCCAGTGTAGCTGCGGAAGAGGAACCGTTCCACGTATCCTACGAAGAGGCAGGCATAGCTTTGGCCCATGCGGGTTCCCATGGCCACCCCCTACCCCTATCTGCCTCTTGTAGGGACCGCTCACTCCGCGACTTCCTCGTCTGCTCCACCCTCCCCACTAGCCCAACCACCCCCGCCACCTTTCCCTGCAACCGCAGGAAGAGCTACACATGCCCCTGCACCTCCCACTCACCTCTATTCAAGGCACCAAAAATACTTTCCACATTAGACAGGGGTTCACCTGCACATCCGTCAACATGGTCTGTTGCATCCGCTGCTCCTGATGTGGCCTCCTCTACATCGGTGAGACCAAATGGAGACCGTTTTGTAGAGCACCTGCGCTCTGTTCGCGACAAACAACACTACCTTCCGGTCGCGAACCATTTCAACTCCCCCTCCAACTCCTTGGACAACATGTCCATCCTGGGCCTCCTCCAGTGTCACAATGATGCCACCTGGAAACTGAAGGAGTAGCACCTCATATTCCACCTTGGGAGCCTACAGTCCAATGGCCTAATTGTGGATTTTACCAGTTTCAAAATCTCCCCACCCCCAATCTCATCCCATGACCAACCCTCCCTCTCATCCCCGCCTCCTTGCCCTGACACAACCTGTCCACTTCTCTCCCACCTCACTGACCAGTTCCCACCACTGCCTACCTGCACTTACCTATCACCATTCCACCTATCTTCCCCAACCCCGCCCTTCCTCTCTCTATTTATTTCAGAGCTTGCTTCCCCCTCCCCCATTTCTGAAGAAGGGTCCCGACCCGAAACGTCAGCTTTCCTGCTCCTCTGATGCTGCCTGGCCTGCTGTGTTCCTCCAGCTCCACACTGTGTTATTTCTGAGATACTTAATAAATACTTTACATGAGTATTCACCAAAGAGAGGGACGTGAGGGTTATTGATGTTAGGGAAAGGTGTGTGAATACTGTTGGGCAGGTCAATACAATGAAAGAAGAAGTGTGGGGTATCTTGAAATTTATTAAGGAAGACAAGTCCCAGGACCAGTTGGGATCTATCCCAGTATACTGTGGGAGGCTAGGGAAGAAATAGCTGGGGCCTTAACAGATATTTTTTCATCCTCTTTGGCCTCAGGGGAGATTCCAGTGGACCGGAGAATGGCCATTGTCATTCCTTTGTTTAAGTGAAACAGAGATAATCCAGATAATTACAGGCCAGTGAGCCTGACATCAGTGGTGGGGAAGCTGTTGGAGAGGATACTGAGAGACAAGAATTGTTCACATTTGGAACTGAATGGACTTGTTAGTGATAGGCAGCTTGGGATTTGCAGGGGGAAGGTCATGTCTAGCCAACTTGATTGAATTCTTTGAGGAGGTAACAAGAATGATTGATCAGGGAAGGGCAGTGGATGTTACCTACATGGGCTTTAGCAAGGCATTTGATAAGGTACCTCATGGCAGACTGATACACAAGGTAGAGTCTCATGGGACCTGGGATGAGCTGACTAGATCGATACAAAACTGACTTGGCCATAGAAGACAGAGAGTAACGGTGGAAGGGTGCTTTTCAGAATGGAGACCAGTAACTAGTGGTGTTGCAGAGGGATCAGTAGTGGGACCTTTGTTGTTTGTAATATATATAAATGATCTGGAGGAATATGCAAGTGGTCTGATTAGTAAGTTTGTGGATGACACCAAAATTGGCAATGTTGCAGATAGTGAGAAGGGTTGTCAAAGGCTACAGCGGGATATCAATAGATTGCAGATTTAGGCAGAGAGACGGCAGATGGAGCTTAATCTCAACAAGTTCAAGGTGATGCATTTTGGTAGATTAAATTCAGGTGTGAATTATACAATAAATAGTAGAACCCTCCAAAGTATTGACATATAAAAGGGTCTGGGCATAGAGATCCACAGAGCCCTGAAAGTAGCAACACAGGGGATAAGGTGGTCAAGAAGGCATACAGTATGCTTGCCTTCACCGGCCAGGGCATCGAATATTAAAATTGGTAAGTTATGTTACGGCTGTATAAAACTTTAGGCCACATTTGGAATATTGCGTGCAGTTCTGGTCGCCACTCTACCAGAAGGACATGGATACTTTCAAGAGGGTACAGGTTTACCAGGATGTTGCCTGGTCTGGAGGGTTTTAGTTATGAGGAGAGGTTGGATAACCTTGGATTGTTTTCACTAGAAAGATGGTGGCTGAGGGACGACCTGATAGAAGTCTATAAAATTATGAGCTGTGTAGACAGGGTGGATAGTCAGAGGCTTTTTCCCAGGGTGGAAAGGTCAACCACAAGAGGGCACAGGTTCAAAGTGAGAGAGGAGAAGTGCGGGGAAAGTTTTTCACACAGAGGGTAGTAGGTGCCTGGAAAATACAGCCAGGAGAGGTGATGGTATCTGGCACATTAAGACATATCTTGATAGATACATGAACGTGAGTTGAACAGACAGATGGAAACTGCACGTAGGCAATAAGTAGTGGGTCTAAATAAGGGTTAGGATTTGGTGCATGCTTGGTGAGCTGAAGGGCCTGTTCCTGTGCTGTATTGTTCAGTATTGTATAAAACACTGTCATTCTTAAAATGTACATGTAATGTGTGTTTTGATAATGTTACTTCAAGAACATTATGCATAAGATAAATCATGATTTATTGAAGATGACTGATCTCACCATGGATTTCTCAAGGGCCTAAAGTTCGTCTTATATTTTATGTATTTTTTTAAAAAAGTTGTTAAACATTTGTAAAACTGCATTATGTTTTAAGTTTCCTTTGCCTTAAATGTTAAAGCATTATTCCTTCAGGACAGCTATCTTTGACCTTCATCAGATTTAACAAAGCAGCAGGCTAAAACATCCTGAAATAATTATGGTTCAGCAGCATAAGACAAGAGAAAATTTGAATGTATGGAGAGTCTTTGGTGTATTACAAAAAAACCTTAAGGCACAGAACAAGAGAGGCTGCAAGAAAATTCCACAACCATTAGATCTACTGACTAATGTCTGCAAAGTAACTAGATTTACCCGTTTGTTCTCCAAAGTTTTGATGCATCCATCATCCAGCACTAAAATCACAAGAATGGTGACTCAAGTTTTAATTTTCTATAGTTTTTGAAGAGATATGCAATATTTCCTGCCTAATGCTTTATAATAAAGTAGCTGACTGCAAAGACAGGAATTCAGATAATTTATCCTTCCATGTGCTTGTAATCGATCACTATTCTA